ATTTTTAAATCATTTGAAATAAATAGTCTAAATTTTGCCAATACACTTTATAACCTAACTTTGTACAAGTAGCTTTATTGTTCTAATATTATGCGAGGCGTTAGCTTCAATGGCGGGGGGTGCAATTCAATTCCATTATTTGACACCAATTCCATTTTTGTTAAGAATTTTAATTATATTTTAATTATTCACTCGTTTGGCTTGATTTTTTAGCTTCGATAAATACAAAATTTGGCAAAAATAAGAATTCTTTCTAGCATCTAGATACACAATACTGTCATAAAATTTATTAAGAATTAGAGATCAAATGCTATATTTTGGGAGAGAAGATCAAACCATAGCAAGGAATTGAAGCCTATTATATCGAGAAATTGAATATTTCAATCTTGGACTTGAAATTAACATCTTTTACATTATTTACTGATTTGGGTGATGATTTTTCATTATTATTCTTGTAATTTATTCAAAAACATGTTAGGCTAGATTCGTTTTTGTATTGAATGAAGATGAATCTTATTGTTTATTTATTTTAATTTAAAATTAGTTTTTTAGTTTATTTATTGCGCTTCTTAATTAATTTTGTACACGCATTGCATTATTTTATTATTTAGCCATCAATTTGATAATTAGTTGCTTGTTGTAATGTTGAAAGACTCACAGCAATTTTAAATGTGACAAAATTAACATATGTGCAGTAGATGTTATGATTAACACTTATTAAATGTGCAATTATATAGATAATATAACATTTTATGCATTCTACTTATTCGAATTTGGGTTAAGAATAGATTCAGATCGTGGTTATGATAGATATAATTTGTCTTGAAAAGATACTATATATCATAACTTTACTGATTGTGAAGAATGCATGAACGAAACTAGATTACAAATCAAGAATTTAAATATATAATATTAGGTGGATTCAAAATCCAATATAATAATTCATAATTTGATAAAAACTATTTTTTTTTTCACATTTCTTAGATTAATTTAGCATAAATAAAATTAAAATTACTTTTGTTTACTTAGTTTGGATTCCATACATAGCTAGTAAATTTGAATTGAAATTTATTCTCTATTGGACGATAACTATCAACTTACTTAATCTATTATTTGTCAACAATCCGATAAGTTTTTGAGATTTTATCGAACAATAACACTTCGGATGAGGTTCCAAGGCCTTTACCCAATCTCCTCGAAGGGCACGTATGAAGAGGTGGTGCCAAGTGACTACGGTCCTTTGCATTGCTTCTTGCTTACTTTTGTTTGGTGATTGTCGCGTGGCCTACAGAGGCGTTACAACTACTAATCCTGCTATCAAAATGCATTTTTTAAGATAAACCTAGCTTCTTCTTTTTTGTAAAAAGAGTTCGAGAATAATTAGTAAATCTAAGCTTCTTTTTCATCACAAAGGGTTGGGAATTTATTAGTATATCAACATGGTGGAGTTCTATCAAACTTATGAAGAGATCACTAGAAATCTTTACTACGAACACTTCTAATATTGTAAATAAGAAAGTCAATTAAAATGTTAGAAAGGTGAAAAATGCTGTTTGCGATTGGCTGTGAATGATTTGCCTCTAAGATAAATAGTTCTCTTTAGACTCGATTGCCATTGATTTTGGGGCAATATCTGATTGTTTTTCATAATTGAGTGAACAGTCGTCTTACGTGTGTAAATAAAACCGCCCCATTATATCTTTCTTTAAAAGTATTACTGGTAAAAAGGTGTCTATTTTCCACCCCTGGTATGCTAATGTGGGTCATGCCCTATAATCAAGCCAACTATAGCAGTACAAAAACAACATATTTCTTCTTTTTTCAAAAAGCTACCACATTTTTCCTCTCAAAAGGTTAAGAAATATTTGTCTTATTGACCCAACATGTCAAGATTCCCCTACATTCTAACGTTCTGAAACACTGACTGGCTTTTTAAAATTAGGGAGGGCCCATTTTCACTGATAAAATATTATATTAAATATTATTAGACCTGTCATGGCATTACGAAACAACATTACAAAATGGTATACGGCCATGCCTGGACCATATTCATTCCACAATCCCTCCATTCGAATGTGCCATTATTTTGTATAAAATACGTTTTATTTGCCATGGGAATCTGCCAATAAAGTTGTATATAGTGATGCCAGGCGCATTGAGTATGTAGATTGTGTATTTGTATAGGAGGAGGAGGGTGTATTGAATGTTCCATAATGCCTCTTATGTTATATGTACCCCTAATTTATAGATGAATTTGAACAGTTAAAAAAGAGACATGATTCATCGAAACGAACACATGGTATCACATCCCGAATTTGACAGTGAAAGTTCAATAGAATCAACGGTGATGGGATCGACACAAGAAATTCAGCTTTGATTAAGATTTGCTCTGAAGCCCTCATGGTTGAGTAGAAACCCGACCAAGAGGCCTAATTATAACCACTAATAATATATTTAATCTAAGCTAAGCTGGTCACTTAGCATTCCTAACTTATCCTCCACTGACAGCCTCAGTAGGATACTCTCTCTTTCTCTATCTGTGTATATATATTTATATTGCTTGAATTTACAAAGAAAATTCTATAGCACGGGAGGGAACAAGAAAAATGACCGTTAGAATGTCTCATATATATAAAAACTGAGATATCCCTTGAACAAATTCATTGCATTGCATTACTCCATTCCAGGATATTCTCTTCATTCTTCAACTCTCTGTCATTCTGTTTTTTCTTTATTCAATATTCTTAATGGGTTATCCACATAGATTTATTTTTTCTATTATTATTATTATTTTCTTTTTGATCTGTTTTTTATCTTTTATTGCAGCAGCTTCTAATTCTAGCAAGCACCATCACAAATGGGTCGGACCCTCCGGCCACCTTCTCATCACCGTCGACGCCAATGGGCTCGGTAACTTCCGGACAGTTCAAGCTGCTGTCAATTCCATCCCCATTAATAACACGAAGAATGTGTTAATTCATATCAATGCTGGTTACTACATGTACGTAACTCCTATTATTTGAATTAATATTTTTGTTTGAATAAAGAGTCTATAATCCAGTGCGGTGGTGGTGCAGCGAAAAGGTGGTGGTTCCGGCATCAAAACCGTACATAACTTTTGAAGGTGAAGGGAGGGATGCGAGTGTAATTGAATGGCATGATAGGGCATGTGACAAGGGACCGGATGGGCAGCAGCTGCGTACTTATCATACAGCTTCTGTCACTGTATTGGCAAGTTACTTCACAGCCAGAAATATTAGCTTCAAGGTATATAAATATATAAATAAGAAATTGTATGACCGTTTAATAGGTCACTGTTTCAATTTTTTGTACCTTAATTAGTCCTTTCACAAATATGAAATATCATAAACTACAACACTGCCATTACGTACTAGGGTTCGTGTGTATATATAGAGGAAATTGCTTGAAATGTCCACTTTCACATGTCCATTTACAAAAATGTCCACATTTTCAAATCCTTACCAAAATATCCATTTTGGAATATTTTGGACCAAAATACCCTTGTGAACAGTTTATAATTCCACACAAAGACAAGAAATTGACATTTTTGCAAAATTTTTATTGGCCAATAAATTTTTAACACATAACTTATCATATTTATTTTAAAAGTGCCCATGTCAAATCACAATTAATGTTATTTTTCTCATTGACACAGAAACGTCGAAAATTACATTTCAAATGTAGAGAATTGTCATGTTCGAAATGAAATGTCATTCTAGAGATTTAAAATATCGAGAACAATATTTGAAATATCGAGAATATTTAATATTATAATTTGACATGTGTACTTTTAAAATATAAACGGGATTCAAATATCGAGAATGATATTTGAAATGTCAAAAACATCATTTTCATGTAGTTTTTCATGGAAGCTACTTCTCGAAACCCGCAACAAATTGAAAAAATAAATAAATTGCTTCTTTTTTCATAAAGGGCATAATAGACAATTTAGTGCTAAATTTAAAAAGTGGACATTTTTCAATTGATACCCATGAAATTAGACATTTTTTAAAATACCTTATATATATAGCATTCTAACATATAGACTTCAATTAAAATAGAGATTGAAGTAGTGCATATACAATTTGTGTTCTAAGAATTTCACGAGAAACTTAGTTAATGGCAGTAGAGCAAGTACCCGTTTGGTATGGATTAAAATCTATATTTTAATTTAATTTAAAGCCAATAATTTGTTTTAACATCATATTTCATGGGTCCAAACAATTTTTCCAAATATTAATTTATCAGTTTTTATCAAAATCTACTAAAAATCCGACCCTTGTTTGAGTTCCATTTTAGAGAAAAAAAAAAAGTATTTTAGAACATTATTTTTTGAAGAATTTGTTGTTAAAAAGAAAAAGTTTTACTTATAAAATTATTGTATAGAAAAATGTGTGGTTGACAATGAATTTTGAAAAAAATATGTTTTTGATAAAATGAAACTCAGAGTCTATTTTAATCTCCACCAAACATGAGCTAAATTTGGAAACTTGTCAAGTCACGTTTAATTGTACTAAACATTTTTAAATAAATCCAATATCTTGCTCTAACCCTTTGATTAACATCGAAAGTGAGCTATTGTATATTTTCTTCTATTTGATATAAATGTACCCAATATTTTATTACAAAAGTGACCCAAAGAAAGAAAGATTTAGCCTACCCCAAAAGTTGATGTTTAATCTTAACCATATTGGGGGTAGAATACTGCACCGGCGCCGATGCCGGGAATGGAAGGATGGCAAGCGGTGGCATTTCGAATATCAGGCGACAAGGCTTACTTCTCAGGATGTGGATTCTATGGTGCACAAGACACATTATGTGATGACGCTGGCCGCCATTACTTCAAGGAGTGTTATATTGAGGGCTCTATAGACTTCATTTTTGGCAATGGACGATCCATTTACAAGGTAAGTTATTACATAAAAATCTTTCTTTCTACTCTACTCTACTTGTCGTCAGGCAAGGTCGTAAAATTAATTTTACGATTATCATAATAGAAAAAATTTAAATCGATTTGACATTGATTTTACATGTAGTAATTGGCAAAGCAAATATTTGACTTGTTTCAAAAATAAAGAAATAAGGGTGATGATATACGTATATTAGGGTGATAGACATCACATTGTATACGAGTAGCATATTCCAATAATTAATCACACCGGTGATGGATGTAGAATTCAATATAGAAGAATAGGTGCAAATGACTACTAGACAACTAGCTACCCCTTTTCATGCACAAAATTGACTCTAAAATTGTGTTAATTATTTTATTAAAGTTACATTTTGTTACCTTATCATTAAAAAGTGACATTATTTTTTATATCACAAACGTCAACCGTGAACACAATAGTAACTTTTTCTATCGTTAATGTTCACCTGTTATACTATTAACTTGAACAGTAAATTTCAATTTGGACAGTATTTTTAAATGTGCCATGCTGGGTTACGAACCCCTACTGAATACACACAAACATGGGGGTGGGAATTTTTGGGGTAATTTTTTAATGAGGTGGGTCTCGCATCATGTGTGGAATCTGTGAAAACCTTTTGGAATTGACCCTATACACCCATCAAAATTCTCTTTAAATTTAATAAATTTTACCCCTTTTTTTAATTTATTTTTTCAGGAGTGTGAAATACATTCAATAGCAACTAAATTTGGGTCGATAGCGGCCCAAGACAGAAATTCAATGGATGAAAAGACCGGATTTGCATTTATACACTGCAGGGTGACAGGTACTGGGCCACTTTATGTGGGCCGGGCCATGGGTCAGTACTCAAGGATTGTATATTCCTATACCTATTTTGATGATATTGTGGCCCATGGTGGGTGGGATGATTGGGACCACGTCAGCAACAAGAACAAGTAAATCACTCACTCTCCCCATTCTTATCAGTATCTACATTCATTGATGTATTAAGTATATGTTTGATTAAATTTTGTTAAAATTTTATCGACTTTTTAAATGTTCAAACTTCAATACATTTCATGAGATTCATAAATTTATATGCATTTCATCAACTTTTCCAAATAATCCCTTTTTACCAGGTTAAAGTCAATTTTCATTTGGACATTGAATCACTTACTTTTGTTGATCAATTTTTATTTTTTTTTTAAACTTAATTTCAAATTTCAATGTTTTTTAACTTTACCTCACAGAACTTGCACCTGACAAATAGAAATGTTACGTTAAATAACTTTATATATTATGTTTGAATAGAACTTGGGTGTGATAACGATTCTTGAGATTTAGAGATTTTATTACCATAAATTTTACTTTAGTTTGGTTAGAAAACATGCTTTTTTGTTCAAGATTGTAAATCCGATTTGAACTTTATAATAACCATTTATACCATGTGGCATACTATTTCAACCCAACTTATACATTCATTCAATGTAGGATTTTTGCTCCTCATGGATGACTTCCAATAATTTTAAAAGACAAAGTTGACTATAGTGAGTAACATAATAATTGGAAGTCCAACGTTAATTTCCTAAGAAAATTAGGGCACACTCATATGTTCAGTGCCCAAAGACTTGTTTAACCCTAGACAGCACATATAAAGCCAGACAAAAATTTGGGTTATATAGAGTTACAAAAGTGGGTTAGACCATTCGATCCCGATATTACTCGTTAGAACTAATTAAAATTCCACACGATATGACTTGACACAACTCATATTGACCAATTTATATTTGTATAATACTTGACAGGACGGTGTTTTTTGGGGTGTATAAATGCTCAGGTCCGGGAGCAGCAGCAGTCCGTGGGGTATCATGGGCAAGAGAGCTTGATTATCCAACTGCCCATCCATTTCTAGCCAAGAGTTTTGTGAATGGGAGACATTGGATTGCACCCTCAGATGCTTAGCCTCGCATTTCACTACAAAAATTTTTAATTACTTTATTCATTCAGATATTTATTTTTAAATAATTTTAGGTTTTAGCTTCAATTATAATTCATTTTTTAATTTGTTTATTCGATAAAGAAGTGTTTCTATAGAAATTCTATATATTCATAAATTACAAATTTGATTCATTATTTTTCTAATAAAAAAATGACTGGGCGCGTTACATTTGGCAATGATAGGTACAATTATTAGATTTTCTGGATTTATTACTATGTAAGAAATAATGAAATATATGAAAAGTAAAATAGAAAAGTGACAAGTATGATCCCATTAGGAAAACTCAAGATTGGACATGGATGAAGAGTGAAGAAAATGCAACAAATTGTATTCGGGTAGAGTATAGGGTAGAGTAAATTCTCAAGGAAGAAATGCATACATAAATCTATCTGTTTATGATGTCTGATTGAACAACTTTCAGAAAATAATCTATATGCCAATGAAGATCAATATTAGTAATATAAAAAAGATGAAATTAATTCTCTAAACCAATGTCCCCATGGCATCACGTATCACTTCACATAATACTCCATTCGTCTATTTATATAGGCTTTTTTAATATTATTATTATTATTATTATTACACGGATTAAGAAATCTTATTAAATGTTATTGAAAAATCTATTTTTGTCAAAAACATTCCTAGTTTACCCCTATTTATATTTATACAATTTTCAAATTAAGAGAGAAAAATTGGTTATAGATAAATTAAATTGGGATATATTAATAAAAAAATCTCAATAAAGAAACAAGACTATATAATTGGGACAAAAAAAAGGAAGTCAGCCCATATAAATTGGACGAAGGGACTGCAACATTGAGGAAATTACACCTCACCCTACCTTTAAAGATTTGCGTTTTAAAATCAGGTGTGAAGTTTCACATTTCACAGATCAAATATTTCATTTTTAAATATTAAATATTATAATACAAATTTTATCCAACCCTAATTTATTTTCATTTTCCTCTTCTCTCTACATCTCGCCCCTCTCTCTTTTTCTCTCCTTTCTCTCTTCAAACTTCGACAGCCGACAATGGAGCTGCTCTAGCCGATACCACACCAGAAGTGCCCATCGTCACGGGACAAGCGGCCGGTGCTTCAGATTGAGTAGGAGAAGAAAAGGGGTGGTGGTGTTGGTGTGTAAGACAGAGGCGGATGCGAAGTCAGTTCTCTTTTTTTGCTTTAGTTTGATTTCTTCGTACAAATCTTTGGAGTTGTGATTTATGGTGGTCAATGGTAAAGGTTTGTGATCGTTATTGTGGTAGTGACGATGGTGCGATGCGAGTAGTAGTGGGTTGTGATTTCTAGTGGTCGATGGTGGAGGTTTGGTGTGGTTCACGATCTTAGCGTGGCAGCGGCGATAGTGTGATGTGATAATGGTGGGGTAGGTGAAGTGCGAATGGTGATTTTGTAGTTACTATGGTGGTGTTGTACAGTGCGTTGGATCTGGTGGTAGCGGCTGCGAATCTGTTGTGGTGTTGGTGGCTTTGTTCGGTGGTGGCAACCTTTTGTGGTGGTGAATTTGTTGGTGTGCTGTGTTGACTGGTTTGTCGTGAGGTGGTGGTGGCTCTGGTGGCGACTGTGCTTTGTTGTGGTGGTAAATCTATTGGTGTGCTAGTTTGTCGTGAGGTGGCGGTGGTTCTGGTGCTCTGTTGTGGCAATAAATCTATTGGTATGCTGTGGTGTCAATGTTGACAGGTTGTCATGAGATGGTGTGACTCGGTGACGGTGCTCTGTTGTGGTGGCGATGGTAATGGTGATAGTGTTAGTGGTTGTGGTGCTCGTAGGTGGGATGAGATGGGGTTGAATACTTGTGATCAATTATTTGATTGATTGTGACTACTAATTAATTAATTTGTAACATGTGATCTAAAAATTGTGAAAGTGACTCATAATTGATTAACTTGTGATCGAAAAATTAATCGTGACCAATTAATCTCATAATTTGTAATGAATAAATGAATTGTTATAAATAAAAATTTTGATTCCGTAACCGATGAATAATCTGTGACCTATAAAAAATTTCATTTGTAACCAAAAAATAATATGATATGTAAAATTTGTTATTTGTGATCAAGAAATAAGTTGTGACTAAAAAATAATCTGTGGATAATTATTTAGATAATTGTGACCAAATTATATAGAATTGTGACATCAATATATTTAATTAATAAAATTTATGTTTAATAAATTAATTTATAAATAAAAATTTAAAAATCTAATTTTTGAAATTTGAAATTTTGTTTCTTAATTTTGAAATGTGCGATAATTAATAGCTTATTTATGAATTTTTCCTTACAACATTTCTGTTGGGACTCCAACATCTCTTGAGACTTGCAAGCCCAAATGTTATTGCCATCACTAAGATAAGAATCAAGCCGATAATAATAGCCTGAAGTTAAGTCACTCCCACTGTCGAGTAAAAAATGGGAAAATTACCCAAAATCATGATTTTAAAATTTGATTATCATAAGTTAGGTTATTAAGAATTTTTTAATTTTTTAATTTATTTTTTTTTACAAAAATTAGGTATTAATTACAAAATCATTTTTCTCTCTCTAACCATTTCTTTCTCTATATTAAGCAAAAAAGCGCAATATGAAAAGAATAATTGCTTTCTCTAATAATTTCTCTCTCGTTAACAGCGTCACCGATTAGTTGCTCGAAATCAGCGAAAGTGAGATAAGAAGGCGTTCGATTTCCTTGATGGGTGAGCATGCCATTGCTGACTATGACGATTTAAGGTTTCCTTGATGGGTGAGCATGCCATTCACTCGGATCTGAATCGGTTGTGGATTTAAGGTGGTGTTGATGATGGATTTGAGGTGAGGATGATAAGGTGGGTTGTGGATTTGAGGTGATGATGACGATTGGGTGATGTCGGTGATGGAGGACTGGGTTGGAGTGATGTAGGGTGAGATGAGTAGTCCCTGTTTGACAATCATTAAAATAAAATTTTTTTCTTTAACTCATTTTTAACCACACTTTTTTTCAACTTATTTTTTTCAAGGAAAAAGGAAAAAAAAAAAAACTCATTTTAATGATTGTCAAACAGGGGCTTAATACGAGATTTGCGACCTATAAATTGTGCGATATGTGATCTTTACCATATGTGATTTTATGACTAGTACGTGATTGTAATTTATTTGATTAAATATAGGTAAGGACAATTTGTCATAGGCCAAATCATAAAATGTGACTACTTGAAGATTTCAACATTTGTTAAATTCAAAAATATATTTTGAAATTATGATAATTACGTATTTGGAATTTCTCCAGACATAATCATTAATGATAGAAACCCAAAGCCCAGTTTTCAACACTTTCTTTAATCAATCATGATACATAGATATAATGACTGACAATGATTAAATTGTTTAAAATACAATTATTTATTTTTTCATCTAATCACATTTTGCCAATACTTATTATGTCACATATTTTCTGGCAAAATAGCATTATTCTTCTTCAATTGATTTTTTTCAATATCAAATCAGCTTGACTTCGTTGATTCCTATAACACTGGTAAATCAATTTTTTTCTTCTCCAAAGCATGAGATCATTGTAGTTCTTTAAGTAAATATAACTCTTATTAAATCATTTTCAAGAGACTCTTTAAAAGAAAAACGCTCTTTATTTTACAACATCAATCCTTAAAATTATGTTCCAAGAAATTTTCAAATTAATATTTAAAAATAGAGATTGTGTTAGACTCTCCAAATTTAAATAGCCAAATCCACTCTCTAGATTTAAATATTTTCAAAATATTTTAATTTTCAATACGCAATATGTTGACCCAAATAAATAGATTATACAAAATAATGGAGGATAATAATATAATAATTTGGATGGAAATTGGTGAAAATAAAAAGGAAAAAATAATAAATATATATTGAGAGTAATAAAATTAATTGTTAAAGATAAAGAAGCTGCTGAAATATTTAAAAAATTTTACTAGTTAAATTGTAAAATATACTTTTTAAAAATAAATAATCTCTTGAATATGCTCTTAACAAGTCTCACAAAAGTATAAATATGGGTTCCATGAAACATCTTATGAAATTAATAACCAAAAAATTTGCACCTACAATTCTTCAAGATTTGATACATCAAATTCCAGAGCAAGCTCTTGCACAATATCATTTGATGGTTGCCCACACTCTTACATTTCTGCATGAACTCAACAATCTTGTCGAAGTTCTTATGTTCATTTTCATGAACTTGATTTAGATGTTTTACTATCTCATACTTACGAGATCAATCATCATATTTGTCGGGAACTAGTTTTGCTTTTTTGTATTCCAACAATTTTGGATTATGTTCTACAATTCTTTTACATGTTTTATGAAGAATTTCATTTGACAGAAGTTGTTGCATCATAGACTCCACCATTGACTCTATATCCAGCAAATAACAGCCCCAAAAGTTGATACTTCTGAATGACGGGAGAAAAAGATGTCAACTCAAATGCTGATGTTATCACTCCACCCCAATCGCGATATGAACCAAATCGGAAATGGGAGGAGAAGCAACCAAATGAGGGAGAAGAATAGAAAATAACAAATCTAAAGCAAAAGCAACTCAACTCAGAATGGTATAATTAAAGAGAATAAAACAACAGTAGCTGTAAAAATGGTGAATGGATGAATATGTAAATTGGGAAAATTGTTTCTCTATATTGATTAATCACAATGAGCAACAATAAAAAGAATTATATGGATCATATATGTATTTATTATGAGAAAATTAGAAATATGCCAATTATAATTATTTCTCTGGAATTGTTCTAATTCCTACAATCATCAGTTAACTAATTTGCATCCGTTAATACTCTCCCTCAAGTTGGAGTGTGGATGTCTATCACACATAACTTGCCGACATGTGAATAGAAAGTTGTCTGTCCCAACGTTTTGTAAAAAGGTCCACAATTTGCTTTTCGATGCCTACATGTGTGGTTTCTGACTTTTCCTCGAAGTATCCTTTCTTAACAATCAAGTTCTATGTGCTTTGTGTGCTCGTGAAGTATTGGATTTGCAGCAATATGAATTGCTTGTCGATTCTCACAAAACAGCTTAGCTAGTTTGGGTGTTCAATATGCAAGTCACCTGAAAGATATCTTAACCATTAAGGTCACAAATGATGGATGCCATTGCTCGCTATTTTGCTTTGGCCA